TTAAAATGAGAACTATTGACAGTTAAACCAATGACCTATGTCAGTGTCAATGACAAGCAATTGGCTCAACACGTGGGCAGAAATACAAGTGAAATCCAGCCAGGGAAAATCAAAAAGACATCCCGACCGAAGATCCGAATAGCATGTGCATGCCACCACTGGTGTGAGACAGGGAGAGGGTGGGAGAGGGTGGGAGGGCCCCTGAGAAACCGGAAGCATGGATTTCTCCCAGGACGGAACTAGGGGGAGAAGCAGAGACAGAACGGCAGGCTGCATTCCCTTCCACACCTCTTGAACGTCAACCCATCTGATTTTTAAGAAATTATTCATTTACCCCGTCACAAGGTCGCAGGGACTTCGGGAGCCAGAGGAAGCTTACATGATGCTTAACCTAGATGTGACTTACTAGGGGAATTAGCTAGATAATAAGGCTTTCCCGGCCCCACAGGAACCTCTCAAGGGATTAAAAGAAGCTCCACGTTAATATGGGGAGCGGGGGTGGGTGACCTCCAGGTAGGCAGGACCCTGAAGACGGCCTTGGTGCTTGGTGTCCCTGGTACCCCAGAGTCTTGTGTTGGTCTTTTTTTTTTTTTTTAAGATTTATTTATTTACTTGAAAGTCAGAGTTACACACACAGAGAGAGAAGGAGGCAGAGAGAGAGAGGTCTTCCATCCACTGGTCTACTCCTCAGTTGGCCACAATGACCGGAGCTGTGCCTCTCCGAAGCTAGGAGCCAGGAGTATCTTCCACGTGGGTGCAGGGTCCCAAGCACCTGGACCATCTTCCACTGCTTTCCCAGGCCATAGCAGAGAGCTGGATTGGAAGTGGAGCAGCCAGGACTTGAACCGGTGCCCATATGGGTTGCTGGTGCTGCAAGTGGCAGCTTCAACCCTACACCACAGCGCCAGACCCTTGTGTTGGTCTTACAAGGAGTTGAGAGATGAGAAGCAGTTTGAGGGGCCAGTGTTTTGTGGGCTAAACAACCGCTTGCGACCCTGGCTGTTTCCAGTCCCAGCTACTCCGCTTCTGATCTAGCTTCCTGCTAACATGCAGGAGGCAACAGATGATACGGCTCAAGTGCTTGAGTCCCTTTTCTTACATGAGAGACTCAGATGGAGTTCCAAGCTCCCGGCTTCAGCCTGACCCAGCCCCAGCTGCTGTGGGCATTTGCGGAGTGAACCAGCAGATGGAAACGTTTGAAGAAGAGGAAGATGAGGAGGAGGAAGAAGGGCTTTAAGCAAGGGTGCCTCGGAGACCGGAGAATGCACAGGAGCCTGTGGGAAAGGCTCTGGGTCTTTGCCTAAGGCCATGGCCGAGGGAGTGAAGTGTCCACAGATGACGGAATGCTACAAGCAGCGGTTAAAAAAAAAAAAAAAAAATCCTGTCATTTGCAACAAAATAGATGCACCTGGAAACCATTATACTTAGTAAAATAAGCCAGTTCCCAGAAGACAAATACCAGATGTTCTGCCTGATATGTGGGAACTAACAGAGTCCCTAAAAGGTAATCTATAGAAATGATTGGCACTTTGAGATGCGATGATTTTGAACAGTCCTTGTCTACGACTGTTGAGGACCAGTTGTGTTTTTTTCATACTATGTATTGATCTCTTTACTTAGTGTAGGGTTAATCTTACGTGTATAAATTTAATTGAAAATAGATCTTTGTAAAAAATAAGAATGGGAATAGGAGAGGGAGGAAGAAGGATGGGAGTGCAGGCAGGAGGGAGGGTAGGATGGGAAGAAATGCTATGTTCCTAAATCTGTATATATGAAATGCATGGAATTTATATACCTTAAATAAAAGTTTTCTAGGTAAAAAAAAATCCACCAATGAATGTGTGGGTGCTTTAGAAGACAGCACTGTGGGCCATCGTAGCAGGTTAATCCTCCGCCTGCAGTGCTGGCATCCCATATGGGCACTGGTTTGCCTGGCTGCTCCACTTCTGATCCAGCTCTCTGCTATGGCCTGGGAAAACAGCAGAGGATGGCCCAAGTCCTTGGGCCCCTGCACCCATGTGGGAGACCCGGAAAAAGCTCCTGGCTTCAGATCTGCCCAGTTCTGGTGGTCATGGCCATTTGGGGAGTGAACCAGCACATGGAATAGCTCTCGCTCTCGCTCCCTCGCTCTCTCCCTCTCCTTCTGCCCCTCTGTAACTCTGCCTTTCAAGTAAATAAGTTCAACCTTAAACAAACCAACAAAGGCAGCACTGACTGGGGTTGCCTGGTTAGGTCAGTGTGATGACACGGGACTGCGGACGCAGGCAGGCAGCAAACCCCCTGCAGCAGCTGCCTCTCACCGCAGCTCTCCTGGCTTCCTATTTCTGCTTCCTTGGCCTTGATGCCGCAGGCAATGAGTCACCCACGTCTCCCATTTCCCTGGGCTAATAAAGGGGCAGAGGCTGGGGTGGGGGAGGGGGCAAGGGGACATCCAGCAGCTGCTCCAGCGTGGCTCCCTGCTCCTCCGCCCCCAGTTTACAACCATCAGAGATGGGGAGGGGGCCGGCAGGAGGATCTTGCTGGGGTTCAGCTGGATGCTCACCTTCAGCCCCGTGCCTGGATCCCTGCCTCCTCCATCGGACTGCCTGCCTCCTCCATCGGACTGTCCCCCCTCCATGTCCTGACATCATCTGACCGCGTTCTGACGATCCCATTCGACCTCTCTGTCTCTGACCCTCCCCCTTGGTCCTCTTCACTGCCCTTCCTCCCCCACCCCGGCCTGAGTTGCTGGTGCCCCTCCAAGTTCTATTCCTGGCCCTCCTCTCCTGCTCCTCACAGCCCTCTTGAGCAATCTTGTCCGCTTGCCTGGTGTCAGCTCCCGCCTCTCGGTGACGCTCAGCAGGGCACCGGGTGAGGTGCGTGGTCAGCTGGTGGGGATGGCCTTCCATCCACAGGCGACACCCGCGGTTACCCGGTCATCCAAGGACAAAGCTTGAAGTTACCTGTGAGAGTGGCCTCTCCTTCCACCCCAGATTCAGTTCATCTCTGGGTCCTGCAGACTTTGCCTTCTCCTCTCCATTTTCTCTATCACCTGCGCTCTGGTCCGGCCCCACCTCCCAGTTCAGTTCACAGTCCCATCTGGGGGGCTGGAGCGTGGGGGGTCCGCCCTGTCTGGGAACAGCCCTTCCCAGGTGGCCCTGACAGCCCGTAGAGGAAAGAACTTCCTGCTCTGTGACTCCTGGGAAGCCGAGAAGGCTCCACTCAGATGAGCAAGACTTGAAGCGTGATTGAAGGACTGATAACAGAGATTGCGGGGGGCTTTGGGGTTGGAATACTTAGGGTGAGTCCAGAGACGGATGTGCAAGGGCCATGGGCATGTTTATCAAAGGCCTCTTTCTCTCTCTCTGTATTTCTGCCTTTCAAATAAATAAATAAATATCTTAAAAAGAAGGAGGAGGAGGAGGAGGAGGGGCTGGCACTGTAGTATAGTAGGTTAAGGTTCGTGTCCCAGCTGCTACATTTCTGATCCAGCTCTCTGCTAATGCGCCTGGGAAAGCAGTGAAAGACAGCCCAAGTGCTTGGGCCCCTGCACCCATGTCAGGCACATGGAAGAAGCTCCTGGCTCCTGGCTTCAGCCTGGCCCAGCCCTGGCTGTTGGGCCAGGAGTGAACCAGTCGAAGGAAGACCTCTCTCTCTCTGTCTCTCCCTCTCTCTGGCTATAACTCTGCCTCTCAAATAAATAAACAAATCTTAAAAAAAAAAAAAGAGAGAGAGAGAGAACATTCTCATCATCTTTTTTAAAAAATTATTTATTTATGTACTTACTTTTTTTTCTTTTTTATTCTTTTTCTTTTTTTCTTACTTTTACGAAAGGCAGAGTGAGAGATATGAGAGAGAGAGAGAGAGAGAGAGAGAGAGAGACTTTTTCCTGTTGATTTACTCCCCAGATGGCTGAATGGCTGGGGCTGGGCCATCTTCTGCTATCCATGACCTCACCCGCCACGTGCCTGTGGGCTGTGGGCTGTGGCCTGCTGGGAAGGGAGCCGAGTTTGCGGCTATGGGCAGCAGCGCCGTTACCTGCTGCGTATCCAGTCCTGTCTGTGAATGCCCCCAGCCAGAAACTCTCATGACTTCCTGGACAGCACCTTGTCCCCCACCCATCACTCATCTTACCTCCCCAAGACCTCCTCCAGCTCTCCTCTCCCTCCTCCTCACTGCCCCCCCCCCGACCTTTGCCTCCTTAATGGCCTCTCTGCCTCCCCTCTTTCCCCTGTAACTTTATTGTCAGGAGCAAGTTTCCCTGTGGGCAGATAAGGCTGCACAGTTCCGGGAGGGAGGGAGGCCCGGCTCCAGCAGCGGATCCTCCAATCCTCCCATCCTCTTAGAGGCTCTAAGCCTCTCTCCCGCCTTTCCAAGCGCTGCCTGATTGGCTCTCCGGTTGCAAACCCCGCTCTCCCTCTACCCCGCCTCCATCTGTGCCTCTGTTCTTGCTGCCCCTGCAGCCACCATTGGCAAGGCAGTCGACAGGACTCCCCTGCCGGTTCACTCCCCCCACCCCGCACTCCCCGCCTCCCCCCAGGCTGCACAGGACACAGCGGTATCGGTATCGGTATTGTGAGTGTCTGTCCAAGTTCCTTCTGATGCAGCCTAGCATCCTTCTGGTCCCTCCCTGCGTCCCCAGCCCTGGGGCTGGGGGCAGCTGGTGCCCTGGCTGCTGCAACCCCTTCCCGGGCTCCCTGTTGCACGGGGGGTGGGGGTGTATGAAGCAAATGTCCTTAACCAAGATCGCGGAAGGAGCCACTGAGACTCGACCCCTCTCCAGCCTCATGCTCGCCTCTCTGGGTGCTGCACCCTCCCCACTCCGGCACTCGCCTCTGCTCTGCAGCTCAGCGAGCCCTGTGCCTTGCACCACCCTGACCCTCCCCACGGAAGCACGTGTTGACTGAATCGGGCATCGTTCCCGTCTTCGGGTGAGGAACACGACGTGAGCCGCGCTCATCGTGCCCAGCCTTCTATCCCAGGTGCCCAGCGCGTAATAAACACTCGACAACGTTGGCGAAGACCTGAAACAGGACTTTATGAACTCTGTCATTAGGCCGTCGCGGTGATCCAAGCGACTAGGAAGAGGATCGCAGGCTGGGAGATGGGGAGGGGGAGGAGTCCCCCACCCCAAAGGACACTAATGTGCAGAGTGCATGGGGAGGCGGAGGGGCACTTCCAAGGCCCTCTTGAGCTCAGGGTACCCGGCAGCTCCGCAGCTCCACCGCCCAGGGCCCCGGCTGGGGGAGAGATGCGCAGCCTTCTGGGACCGACAGAGGGAGCAAATTCATGGGTCCCCTGGGTGTCCCAGGACACTTGGGCCTGGCTGAGGAGGGACACTAGGCTGAGGGCGCCCAGGCTGTCAGCTTATCCGACAGGTGCCTTTCTCCTTGAAGGGATTCCTGTCCTCAGGGATGCCTTTGAGAAGGGGGTCGTTTCCAGCTTGGGCCTCCACGTATTCCCTGATGTCCTTGCCTGTCTTGGAAATCTGTGAAACACAAAACATGGTCACAGTCCTTGTTGATTTCTCAGGATGCGGGACTTGTTCAGTCCAGGCAGACGGGGTTTCTAGACGGGGGTGTGGGAGGGGATGGAGGAGGGGCAGGCAGGTGGGAGCCCCTGACTCGCACCTGTGTGCGCTGCTTGGCCAGGCCCAGGCCGGGCATGGGAAGGGTCTCTCCCGGGCTGGGGAGGTTCAGCAGCTCCACGGGGTCTCCCCCCAGCCTCCCCCCACATCCTGCCCCATGCCCTCAGCATCCGCGGCCCGGGAGAAGCCCCGGCAGGGAGGAGGCTCACCGGAGCTCTGGGGTTCTGCACCTCCTTCCGCAGCTGCTCCACCTCCATCTTCAGCAGCTCCTTCTCGCTGAGGTCCTGGGCCATCCTGCCCTGGAGACACCTGAGCCCAGAAGGGCAGTCAGCAACCAGGGCCCTAAATCACATCCGCGCTTCCGGCTCCCTCCACACCTCGACTCCTACTCTAGCCCTGCGGGGTCCTTCAGGTTCGAAGCCTCCTCGGCATCCCACACATCTTCACTGCCTCCCTCCACTCCTGCGCCACGGCGAGCCTGCTCCCAGTCTGGTGGGGGGCGAGCCTGCTCCCAGTCTGGTGGGGGACGAGCCTGCTCCCAGTCTGGTGGGGGGTGAGCCTGCTCCCAGTCTGGTGGGGGACGAGCCTGCTCCCAATCTGGTGGGGGGTGAGCCTGCTCCCAGTCTGGTGGGGGGTGAGCCTGCTCCCAGTCTGGTGGGGGACGAGCCTGCTCCCAGTCTGGTGGGGGACGAGCCTCCTCCCAGTCTGGTGGGGGGCGAGCCTGCTCCCAGTCTGATGGAGGGCAAGCCTCCTCCCAGTCTGGTGGGGGAGGCGCGATCTTCGCCCTGGAATAAGCATCTGTCTAAGAAGGGAACAGAGAAGCAACACAAAGGAGCTTCCCGTAGCGCGGATGACTCGCGGAGCTCAGTTATTATTCCTCAGGGAGAAGCTTGCTTTTTCGTCTCTAAGTCCCTCTCGGCAGAGAAGGGGCTCTGGAGCCTGCTGGACCCCAGCTCCGACCCCAGCTCTGCCGCCTCCTTGCTGGGTGGCTTTGGCCAACTCACTCCACCTCCCTGAGGCTGTCTTACTCTCCCCACCTGCAAAAGGAGTGTAATCATAGTACCTAGCTCATAGGGCGATTGTGAGTGCTAAGAATGTAATGTGTATCAAATATTTTTTAAAGATTTATTTATTTGAAAGGCATAGTTACAGAGAGTCAGAGGCACACACACACACAGAGACAGAGACAGAGAGAGAGAGGGAGGGAGGGAGAAGTCTTCCATCTGCCAGTTCACTACCCAGCCACAACAGCTGGAGCTACACTGATCCGAAGCCAGGAGCAAGGAGATTTTTCTGGATCTCCCACATGGGTGCAGGGGCCCAAGGACTTGGGCCATCTTTTACTGCTTTCCCAGGCCACAGCAGAGAGCTAGATTGGAAGTGGAGGAGCTGGGACTTGAACCGGTGCTCATGTGGGTAGCCGGCACTGCAGGCGGCAGCTTTGCCCGCTATGCCACAGCGCCGGCCCCATCAGATATTTTAATACTCTGTGTGCCCCATCATGTATGATTAATGCCTGGATTACTATTGTCACTGATAATGAGATTATCATCACTGCAGGATGACAGGAAGGCCTGCCTGGTGCTCTCGCTGCAATAGTACTAAGACTGGGGCCAGGCATTGTGGCTTAGCAGGCTAGGCCACCACTTGGGATGCCTGCGTTCCACATCAGAGCGCCCAGTTCCGTCCCGGCTCCTCTGCTTCCGATCCAGCTTCCTGCTAATGTGCCCTGGAAGGCAGCAGATAATGGCTCGAGTACTTGAGTTCCTGCCAACCCATGGGAGAGACCCACTTGGAGGGCCTGACTCCAAGCTTCTGCCTGGCCAAGCCCTGGTTGTTGCGGGCATTTGGGGACTGAGCCAGCGGATGAAAGATCTCTATCTGTCGGTCTGTCTCTCTCTCTCTCTCTTTCTCTCTCTCTCTCTTTCTGTCACTCTGCCTTTGAAATAAATAAATCTTACAAACAAAACAAGACACCAATCCTGAGTCCCGGACCAGTACAACACCAGCCCCTCTCACCTGCCAGTGGGGAGCGCGCCGTCCACACCACCTCTCAGGACCCAGAAGCGCTGGTGTGTGGGCCTCTCAGCTCCTCATCAGCTGAGAATCTTTGGATAAAGCAGATGGCCTGGACACCAAGGTCTCTGCCGCCTAAGCTGATCATAGGCTAAGGTTCTAAGCCCATGCATCCTCCTGAGCTCCTGAGCCCTCCTCGCCACTGGAGCAGAGACACTGACGCTCTCCCCATCAGAGCACACCAGGGACCAGACGCCAAATCCACCTGCCTCGGAGCCCCCCACTTCCCCCCTCCCTGGCTTCATTCATCAGCCCCAGAGGCCCCCCTGGCTCCCACTCTAAGCCTCACAGTTGCCCCCTCCCCTGCCTTCTCCCCATCTCGGAGCCCACACCGAGAGTGTTCCTCCTGCTGACGCAAGTCCTGGACGAGCTCCTAACTTCCCTTATCCGGGAAGTCCTTGTGTCCCCACCGTGGGAGTCCCTGCAATTTGAGCCTGCAAGGGTGTCCTGGCTCACCCCTTGTTCACATAGTCCATAGCACTGTGCTCCTGGCTTACAATGCCGTGCTAGTTAGTCCCGGGCGCCACGGCGGCCACAATCGCCTGGGCCCACGCTGGTTGACCCCCACGCCCCCTGAGCCCTGAGTGTGGCTCTCATGTGCAGTCTCTGAGCCCTTGGTCTTTCTCGTGCTCTCCTCCCAGCATCACCCGAGGACTGTGTCATTTAACAGATGCTAAGCCTGGATCTGCCTGACACCTGTCAAATGGCAAGGGACCCCCTGCAGGAGGAGACACTAAGGGACCCCCGTGGTCAGTGAGGGTTCCTCTTATTTCCCAGCCTCTAGGCCAGGGCTGGGGAACCTCCTGCTCAGGGCCATTTGGATCTTTACAGCATCATGCAGGGGCCATACGAAATTGTCAGCTTGGAAATGAGCCTGCTGTAGAGGTACCGAATTTTGAGTCCTGCCTATGGAAGACTCAGCAGAGCCAGACCAGAGGATTTTGTGGGCCTTGCACCAGCTGCAGGCCAGACATTCCCCTTCCCCCAGCTCCTGCCCTGGCCTAGGAGGGCAGAAACAGCGGGAGGAACAGGAGGATGTCCATTTTTCATCCTAATGTTCCCCGCGCCAGGACCCCAGGCCCACATGCAGCCAGCAGTGAGCACTAAGAACAGGAGATGGGGGACAGGACCTGAGCCCATACCTCCTGAGCTCCGCCGCTGCTTCCTGAACCTGGGAGGTCAACGTGGAATCTGCACCCGGTGCGTCTCAAGTCCAAGTCCTTCCTGTTGCTCAATCGGAGTCCCTCCCGCTACAGCTGCCCGGTTTCATCTTTGCTTGGTCTCCGGCAGGCGCAGGCCATGCCTAGCGGAGCCTTCTCGCTGGCCGCCCTGCAGGGGCCTGACAGCGCCGCCTCTGGCTGTGTCTTCCTGGTGTCCAGTCCTCTTGCTGTTTCCTATTGTTGCTGTGCCGCCACCGTCATCCGCTGTCCCCAAGCCGGACTGCTCTCCATGTCCCATCCACCCTCCACTCCCCCGTCCCGCGGTGACTCATCCCAGAGCTTCCCAAGGAAGCCCCCACCCTCTGCCCTTTCCTCCTCTCTTCCATGAGTGGAAAATCTACCCCCCCACCCCAATGCAGGCCAGCCCCCTTCCTCTCAGTCTCCCCTCCCAGCCCCCAGCCAGCCAGTTTCCTCTCTGGGACCAGGGAGCCATCACAGCCGCCCCGACCTTGGCTTCCTCTGCTGGGTGGAACTGGGGGCTGGGCCCCTGGCTTCCCCCTTCCTCGGGCAGGGGACAGAGGCACAGGCCCAGCCAGGGAGCAGGGACTGACTTCCTCTTGTCCCGGAATGAGCATGCCTGCCCTTCACAGGCAGGTTTGGGGCTCTCACGCAGAGGAAACCAAGAGGGCGGTGAGAGGGAGGGCAGGCAGAGCGACCAATCAAGGAAGGGCTGGGTGAGGCACAGAAGCTGCGGCTCCCGGGGGAGCCAGACGGAGGCCGGGGGTGATGGCGGAGCTGCAGCAGCTGCAGAACCTGGACATCCCCACGGGCCGGGAGGCTCTGCGTGGCAACCACAGCGCCCTGCTGCGGGTAGCCGACTACTGCGAGGACAACTACGTGCAGGTAGGTGGAGGGGGGCCCCTCGCCCCCCAACCAAGGGTCCCCAGAGCCTAGCCCAGGCGGAGCCATGGAAACCATCCCAGCAGGTGCTCATCCCCCAGGCCTGGGCTGCAAATCATCAACTTCATCCGTGTCCTCCGAACTTCACCCAAGGTGGGGGACGGACAATTTGGGGTCAGGCAAGGCTAGTCCATTCTGGTCTCAGGCCTCACCCCGACTTCAGCTCCCCCAGCGCCCCAACATACAAACGCTGGCGCATCATCCGGTTTTCAGCAAGGCTCTAGGAGAGACTTTAGAAGAACTTCCCAAGGACAAAAGTGAGCTTGAGACAGAGGAGAGAAGGGAGTTAGCTCCTTGACAGTTGCAGAAGGCGGGGTAGGCTTAGTCAGGGAAGGGGTGCTGACACAGAGGCAGGGGGCTGGACAGCATGACTGCTGGCGACAGGCTACAGGCTACAGCAAGACAACGAGGGTAGCATTTTTTTTTTTAAATTTATTCGACAGGTAGAGTTACAGAATGAGAGAGAGAGACAGAGAGAAAGCTCTTCTGTCCGTTGGTTCACTTCCCAAATGGCCGCCACGGCCGGAGCTACGCCGATCCGAAGCCAGGAGCCAGGAGCTTCTTTCCTGGTCTCCCATGTGGGGGCAGGGCCCAAGCACTTGGGCCATCCTCCACTGCCCTCCCAGGCCACAGCAGAGAGCTGGCCTGGAAGAGGAGCAACTGGGACTAGAACCCAGCGCCCATATGGGATGCCGGCGCCACAGGCGGGAGATTAACCTAGTGTGCCACTGCGCAGGCCCCAAGGGTGGCATTTGTAGCATAGTTTTAAACATGGTGTGATTGTCCCAGGACCAAGAACGTGGATTTCTGGAAGGAGAGAATTTGAGGATGACCGAAACGCCTGGCTCCTTTGTTAGTCCTAACAAGTACCCTGGAGACCAAGGATCATAATGTCTATTTTAGGGGTTTGGAAATGGCGGCTCAGGGAGGTACAGGGACTTCTCTTTTTATTATTTTTTTCTGAAGATTTATTTATTTATTTGAGATGCAGAGTTACAGAGAGAGAGAGAGAGAGAGAGAGAGGTCTTCCATCCTCTGGTTCACTCTCCAAATGGCCTTAACGGCTGGAGCTGAGCTGGCCAGGAGTTTCTTCTGGGTCTCCCACATGGGTGCAGGGGCCCAAGGATTTGGGCCATCCTCCGCTGCTTTCCCAGGCCATAGCAGAGCTGGATCAGAAGTGGAGCAGCCGGGATCGAACCAGTGCGCATATGGGATGTTGGCACCACAAGCAGAGGCTTAGCCTGTTCTGCCACAGCGCCTGGCCCCAGGCTTTGAGCTCCACTCTCACCACCTTTCTGCCTCCTTGATGAGCTGCAGGCCAGACTCGTTACCCCCTGTGCAAAACTTGGTTTCCCTAATTGGTGCTGAGCAGGCCATGAGAAGCAGCGCAGGGACTTCCCAGCATCGTGAGAATGTGGCAAAGAAAGAAATGAAAGCCCAAGGGAGCAGGTGCTCATGGGAAAGTGGCAGGTGAAAGAGTGGCGGTGACGGCACCAGAGAAAGGCCCCACGCCCTGACTTCGGGACAAGCGTATTCCCTGAGGGGCCTCCTCGTCTTCACCCCAGCAAGGAAGCTGAGCCTTGGAAAGGTTAAGTCATTTCCCAAAGGCCTGAGTGCTAGTGGCAGAGCCCGCTTCACACCCAGTTCACACCCTGCAGAGCACACTCCCTGACTCCCCAGCTCAAAGCTCTGTGCCAGGTGTGATCTGAGTCCCCGTGAGCAGCGAGTGGCCAGCCTGTAGAGGAGGGGGACCTTGGATTGCAAAGCGGCCACTTCGTCCCAGCGTGGAAAGGCACAATCCCACCACAGCCGAGGATAGAAGTAGCTACTTCCACGCCTTTGGGTGCTCGTGTACCTCTTAGGGGCTTGCGGACGGTATGCACCTGAGTCCAGGGTCCAGGCCTGCCACAAACTTAGGACGACGGCCAGCTTCCCCTGATCCGATCCTCAGAGCTTCCTTCGGGGGTGGTTACGCGGGCTCCACGTGAGAATGCGTGAAAGCCTTTAGCCGGGTGCCTGCCCCTTAAGAAAGGCCACATACATATCAGCCAGTGGTATTATTATTATTAAGGAATACACACGTGTATAATACAACCCAAACGCTCTGGGCATCAGAAGCCCTCACCCACACTGGACGTGCTGGGAGCCTGCTTTCTCTAGACAGAACGCTAACCACTAAACCACACCGCCGGTTACCTTTCCTAGTCTCTGAGGCTGCGTGGGGAAGCAAGTGCCTAAGATGACTTCCCAGATTGGCTTTAAGTGAGGCCTCCATCACCATTCCCAGAGGCCTGGCTCCCACGCCCTCCATGGCCATCCCTAGTCTCTCTGGCCACCCCAGCCAGGCGGCAGAAAACCTGTGGGGAGTGGGAGTGGGCCGGCTAGGTGGCAGCTGCAGGGTTCTCAGTCAAGGTTGATGGAGCCTGCGCACAGGGTGATTTGCATGGTGAGCCAGCGAGCAGCCAGCCACAGAGAGGGATTCCGCACCTCTGTCCCTCCAGGCCTGCTTCTGCGCCAAGACAAAGCCTAGGGGCCCTTGGCGTCCAGGCTTGAGGCATCCAGGCAGCGCCCATGACACCACTCCTGCCCGGGCTGATGAATGACACAAGGGATGGCGCTGTTCAGGAGGAGAGAGGCCAGCTCAGAAACCTGGGGGAGACCACCAGGGCAGTCCCTGCTCCGTGCTGGGCCTGTTTCTTCGCTTACTAAAGGCTGGCCTTGAACTAGAACACGGACACACTGTCCTTTCTGGTTTGAACATCTGAGTCTGACTGCTTTGTCTACTCAAGGCCCTCGGTGACAAGGGTCTCATGAGATGGAAATTTGGTTACGGATGCTGATGAGATGTAAATTGACAGGCAAGGGAGCATCTCTTTCCTGATGTTAGAAGAGAAAGGGGGGGCCAAAAAGTGGGGCTTCCCAGAAGGCTCTGGCTCAGGCTGGACCCTGCAGGCATCCTGGTCTTGCTCAGGACCTTGCCCCTGTAGTGTCTAGGCCTGCTCTCCACTGACAGGCACCTGCAGGCCTGGGCTAGAAGACCCCAGTGTGCAGCCTTGCCTGTGAGTCCTCTGGGTACCCCGGCTTCACCCTGCATCCGCTCCCTGCTTCCTAAGACACAGGCCAGGATACAGCAACTCCATGACCTGAGTGGAGATGAGGAAGCTGCCTGGGGAACCAACAGACTGGAGAAGCTTTGCCCCAGCTGGCCATGGGCTGATCCGGGACCAAAAAAAATAACCCTCCTTTGTCCTCAGCCACACGCTGCCCGCCCCTCCCCCCTCCACAGCCTGACAGTGTGACCCAGGGGCCTGGCCCACACCAGGAGGGTGGCTTGGGCCCCCATGCGATCATTAATGAACTCACAGAAACACATTTATGAAGTGTCCTCTTGTGCCAGAACAAAACAGCAAGCTCCCTGCTCTCATTACACATTTTAGTGGGAGGATAGACAATAAAGACAAGTGCAAAGGTCCTGAGGTGGATGCAACCTACTCGTTCAGCAATGGATATCCAGTAGCCAACGTGGCTGGAGGGGAGTGAGTGGGGAGGCGTGGTGGGGATGACGGGGGAAGAGAAAGCAGGAATCAGACCCAGAGAGGTGTGCACCAGCCCGGATTAGAACTTCAGAGTTTATTCTTGGTATATTGGGAACCCGTGATAGGGAATGGATGAGGAAGGAAGTCACCACACTCAGTTTCCCTATCCGAGTTCCCGAACACTGACCTGATGGTACACACCTGGTGAGCGTTTAAAGGCATGGATTCATTGGCCTCATGCTGAGGATTTCAGTTGGAAGGCCTGGGGTGGGGGGGGACTTAGTTTGCCTCTTCCAGCCAGTATCACCTTTCGCTTCTTCACCGCTCCCTGACCGCCGAGAACAGCTCGGAACCGACGTCTTCAGGAAGGCGATCGGGTCATCCCCATGGCCGCCACCGCAGACACTTATGGGGGCTGCTGCCTTCTCCCAGCTCAGCCCTTGTCTGTGTGCTCTCCCGCCCTTCTCAGCCAGGGGCCTGGCAGAAGGGGCTGGCCTCAGGCCAGGGCCGTGTGTGTGTATTTCAGGCCACAGACAAGCGGAAGGCGCTAGAGGAGACCATGGCCTTCACGACTCAGGCTTTGGCCAGCGTGGCCTACCAGGTGGGCAACCTGGCAGGGAACACACTGCGCATGCTGGACCTGCAGGGGGCTGCCCTGCGCCAGGTGGAAGCCCGCGTGAGCACCCTGGGCCAGGTAAGGGACTGACAAGGGCGTCTCACACCAGCCCCATCCTGACAGTCCCCGCAGCTCGGGTCCCCTCCTGCAGAACTGCACCCTACCCGTGCATCTGAGGCCTCTTTGTCTCTATGGCTGTGTTTCAGGCATGGGCTGGGCTGTCTACCCCAGGTACCCTCTGCTGTCTGCCCCAGGGCATTAGAAAGTGGTCTACCAAGCATGGGGGCTGCAAGGGACAGGAAGGAAGCAGATGAGCCCTGTTTGCCTCTGCATGCCGACAGACAGCTGTGGCTTTAAATTGGTGGCCTGCACCCAGGGCCACCACCCAGCCTGTCCCCTCTCCATCCCCCCGCCCTTCTGGCCCACACCCCCTCCTCCTTCCTTCCTGGGGCCCTGCCCGAGGCCTGGCCCCACCAAGTACACGCACAGATCCCTTGGCACGTGCAGCATGCACGCAGTCAGCGCACGCACCGGGCGTGTCCTTCCTCTCACCCCAGCAGACCCGGGTTCCCACCCTCAGTGCTGATTCCTCTGCAGAGCGTCCCAAGAAGAAGTGACCGGACTTGTTTGTCCCCCAGAAGGCAGAGTGGCTCCAGCCACCGTTCCCTGTCCCCTCCCCCGTGACCGCCTCTGCCCCGGAGCCGGCCTGGCCTCTAGTCTCTTCCCAGCTTCCCTGGGGACGTTGGATTTTCTCTTTTCCTCCTGTTCCTGCTCGGCTAATAATAACCCTCATTCTCTTCCTCCAGGAAGTTGCTCTAAAGTGGCTCTGTCCTCTCCCCCACCTTTCTCAATTGCTGTGCGGCCTTGGGGACAAAACTCACTCTTTCTCTGGGCCTCGCTGTCTCCCATGGTCCCCATCTCCACCCTAATATCTCTACCCCATTCCTTAGTGAGAAGGGGTCTGGAATCAGACAGCACCCCCCTCCCCGCCACACCACTGTCACCTCCAGCCCTGTCCCGCAGATGGTGAACATGCATTTGGAGAAGGTGGCCCGACGGGAGATTGGCACCTTAGCCACTGTCCAGCAGCTGCCCCCTGGCCAGAAGGTCATCGCCCCCGAGAGCCTGCCCCCCCTCACGCCCTACTACAGGAAACCCCTCAACTTCGGCTGCCTGGATGACGTTGGCCATGGGATCAAGGTAGTGATCGGGGCCCCGTCTCCCCACAGTACAGTCTCTCCTAGACCCTGGCCCTCATCTCAACCTGAGACCCCTTTCCCCGAAGCCATCCTGCCCCCTCTTTCCCAGCCTCTGCAAGCCCCCAGCCCATGATCTGCTGAGACTGGGGTCCTGGCACCCTCCCCCACACTGTGGCTGCTGGGTGTGGGTGTCGCATGAGAACAGAACTTCCTCTGTCTGGGGGTTTGAGGTACCGCGCTGAGCAGCCTTCCCGCTCACTCGCTCTCAGCCCATGACCTTCTTGGCAGTGAGAGATGGCTCAAGCACCCGGCGACATCACTCCTTTGCCACCCTATCACAGCGGCCCCCACAAGAGGGGCACAACACTCCTCCAGTTACCTCCCTTCCCAAAACTCCTTCCCAGGGTCCCACTTAGAGTCCCCTCTGTCACGGCCCTGGGGAGCCTCAGCAAACAGAATCGCACCTCCCTGCCGGCGCCTTGAGGAAGCCGGTGGCTAACAGAAGCGCCATCTTGCACGGGGCTTTGCACCTGTCCGCTGAGCACTCAGCGCTAAGGGGCCTGGGCCCTGCCCAGGTGGGACCAGCCTTCCCCAGCACCCTCCCTCCGCCCTTCAAAGCTGGGGACCACCGAGCCAGGGCTGCGGCTCCCTGTGCTCTGAGATGGCTTTGGGGAGGGGCTGGGATGAACACCCCACCACCACCAACCCTCGCCCCAGCCCGCTGCGGCCACACACAGGAAGCGGCCCTCAGACTGCGTCTGCGCTCCGAGGTTTCTTTCGGTCGCTTGGGTTTCGGCAGAGACAGAGGGGGTGGGGACGGCGTAGGGCGGCAGAGGGGCCTGGGAAGTGGAAGTGGGAACTTGTGGTGCGCACGCTCTCCCTCCTGGGTCTCGGCCGCCCATCCCCCACTTCCTCCCTGGGATGGGTGGAGCGCGCACCACCCCCACCCCAGGTGTCAGCCCCGCGCCCTACTCCCGCACAGGACCTGAGCACGCAGCTGTCGCGGACCGGTACCCTGTCTCGCAAGAATATCAAGACACCTGCCGCCCCTGCCTCCGCCACACTGGGGTGAGGCTTCGCCGCGACCCCAACCAGCCTGGCCCTGCCCCACCCACGCCCACAGTACCTGGCGCCTTGACCTTTATGGTGACAGGCCTGAGGCTGGCGCCTCGCCCCCGCCCCTTCCCACCCGGAAACCTTTTGCCTCCCTCCCCCCGCCCAGGAGACCACCCCGGATCCCCGAGCCGGTGCAGCCTCCCACAGTACCGGACGGCAGACTCTCCGCCGCCTCATCCGCCTCTTCCTTGGCCTCAGCAGGGTGAGTCCTTCAAGACCAAGTGGGTGATGCTGGGGGTGTGTGGTTTTGTCACCGTGATTCTGGGGGTTCAGGATCTCCGGGACCCAGCACTGGGCAGTGAAGGGGCGGGACCAGCCGGGCATACCGGATTACGGAATGTGTGCCCTAAGCGAGCCGGGCCCTGCTCTCTTCCGTCTACAGCAGCGCCGACGGTGGCGGTGGGGTCTCCGCGCCCAAGGGGCAGGAGGCACCCCCACCCCCACCGCCACTTAGCTCTTTGGCCCTGCCACCTCCTCCTGCCAACGAGGTCTTCCTGCCCCCGCCTCCCCCGGAGGAGCTGTCCCCGCCCCCTCCAGGTAAGGACCCCGCCCCCCTGCAGGGTCTCTGTCGCTTCCGGACGCTGCCCCGACCCCACCCTTCTGGGATCTAACCCGGACGCCCCAGGAAACGCTTCGCCCAGGCGAGGGAAACGGAGGGAGAGGAAGCGCAGGAATCGAATTAATCGTTCAACGCCTGCTGCGCATGGGGCCCCGGGCTCCCAGCTTCTCAGCCATAATTGAAACTTCACAACCCCGAGCCTCGGCTCTGCCCACACGCATTCAACAGATGAGACTGAGAGTTTAGTGGCCTGCCCGAGTCCCTCGGCTCACGAGTGGTGCTGTCCGACCGCCCTTTCGGCGTGGACCGGGAGCACCTGCCAGAGGCACCGTGCGGGCACCAGGCCGCTGAGGGTAGCAGAGAGCTTGTACCAAGCCGGGGGACTCGACAGCGAAAGGCCCTAGGCGGAGGGAGGGTTCCCGGCGCCGCGCTTTGCAGCCTGCTTTCTCTCCTACTCCCAGCCGAAGAGCTGCCCCCGCCCCTGGACCTGCCCCCTCCTCCGCCCCTAGACGTGGACGAGCTGGGGCTGCTGCCTCCGCCCCCGCCAGGCTTTGGGCCGGAAGAACCCAGCTGGGTCCCTGCAGCCTACTTGGAGAAAGGTACCTGACGCTGGGCACTGGAGGGCACCTCGTCCCAGGTCCCGGGTCTGGCCTCTGCTGCTGCCCTGTCCCAACTTTACTTCCCTCTAGACACCTACCCCACTCCGGCAAAGGGGTTCTTCCCTTAACCTCCCGCCACATACCCACACGCACATGCGCACGCGCGCCTCACATATGCTTTCCAATGAGCCGAGCTCAGAACCAAGCTGGGTGGACAGCAGCCACCCGGTGCTGGATATTAACGGATCCTGAAGGTTTGGGAGCCCCGCAACCTTCTCCCCTAAATGCTCCCCAGGGTCCAGTATTCCCTGGGGGCCTCCCCGCGCACCTCAGCCACCCTCTCCCCCGGCCTGCAGTGGTGACTCTGCACCCGTACACCGCGCAGAAGGACAATGAGCTCTCCTTCTCCGAGGGCACGGTCATGTACGTCACGCGCCGCTACTCTGACGGCTGGTGCGAGGGCGTCAGCTCTGAGGGCGCTGGATTCTTCCCCGGGAACTATGTGGAGCCCAGCTGCTGACTGCCCAGGGCTCTCCCTGTGCCCACCCAGGCTCCGAGCCGAGCCAGCCCGCTGGACTGGGCTGCCCGCATTTTGCGATGTGAGCTGTGCAGTCTGTCCCTTCCCCCTTCCCCCAAAGTGGGGGCCCTGGGGAGAGAAGGTACTCGGAGGTCTGCTGCAGACGGGACAGAACCGGAGGCCGAGGAGTGTGGGGATGACCCTGGCCACAGAGGACCCCTCCCACGTGCTGGGTGGGGTCTCCAGCTTCAAGTGCCAACTCTGAATAAAGCGGATGACCTGACAGCTGCCCCGCGGGACTAGGGGGCCAAAAGACACCCAGTTCTGCTAATGACCGCACCTCTCCTGGGCCTGCCACACCCCAGAGGCTCCTCTGCAGTGGGGGGACTGCACCCGGCTCTTTTGACCCTCGCTTGCTGTGCGTGTTGTGTTGGGTCGTGGCTCCTCAACTTGAGGAGTGGGGACAGTCTCCCCCAGTTAAGTGGGGGCTGTCAGGAAGCAACAGCGCGCCTCCCCCTGCCCTCGTGGACCACGGCACCACAAATCTCAGACACAGGTTCCCCTTCGCCTGCTTTATAGTTCTGACACCAGAAGGGAGGGGGACATGGGGTTCCCTGGTTCTGCTTAAAAACATCATGGCTTTCTGTTCCGTACAGGTGGGTGGAGGGGGAAGGCGCAGAGGGCGGCTTTGGTGCGTTCTCCCGTCTCTTGCGGCATAGGCGAGGCTGCGGGGCGAGGGTCCCGGGAGCGCCGGACCTGAGTTGGGCTGGATGCTACCTCGTTCCACCGGCAGGGGGCGACTGTTCGCTCTGGCTTTTCTCTTCCACGCTGGGGTGCTGAAGGGATGGGCCAAGGTGTAGTAGCGAGTACACGAACTGTGTAGGGGCGTGGCGAGATGGAAAAGGCTTGGAGCTGTCGGCGGAGCGGAGAGCGTCAACTTTCTCCGCGGGGAGTCCGAGTGGCCATGCGGACTTCGGGTGCCTGGGTCCCTTTGATAGAAGACTGGAGAGGGGTCGTTAGGAGGCCGAGGCGGCAGTGAGAGCGGTGGAGGAGGTGCCCTCTGTCACCATCCAGGGTCCCCTGCCGCCCAGGGTCTTGGAAGGGTCCCCACTGCCTTCCAGGGTGGGCGCAGGACCCCGCATGCGCTGCACTCCAGAGCTTAACTGCGGTGAAGGGGGTGGGCGGGGAGAAGGGGGGAGGCAGCTGGGCGGGGCTCACTGCATAGACGGGAACGGCTTGGGGGGCCACCCCTCCCTGGGAGACGCCGGGAGGGTCAGCGCCAAGCGCAAGGGCAAGGAAACAGCCGACTCGCGGGTCTTCCCCGACGGCCCCAGCCCCGCGCCCTCAGCCGCTCGCCGGCCCAGGGCGCCCCCTGCAGGCGAGCGTCTTCAGCACGTCTTGAGCACCTGCTGCAGGTGGAGGCGCACGTCGGCGGCTGTCTCCCAGGGCACCACGCTGGCGCGGAAGGAGCTGGGCTCGGCTTTCTGCGCCTCTTGGATGAGGCGGTGCATGGGGTAGCCGCGGCGCGGGAAGGCCACGTCGCCGCCCGCCAGCAGCCCCATGGGGCAGAAGTCGTTGGCGCCATCGCCCACGTAAAAGAGGCGCTCGAAGTGCACCCCGTCGTGGGCCCGCTCGCGCAGGTAGTCGCTGAGCACCTTGTGTTTGCACATGTTGGCGGGGCAGCGCGCGCAGCTGTGCGTGTGGAAGGGTCGCAGCGCCAGCAGCCCCCGTGCGTCGGGCCCCGACGGGTTGCTGAGGATGCGGCGGAACAAGCCGTGGTGGCCAGCAGCGCGCAGCGCACTCTCCACGCCGAAGGTGTTGGCATCCGAGATGAGAATGACCTCGAAGCAGGTGCCCTGCTTAGACACAAACTGCAGCAGGTCGCCCATGCCCGGCGTCAGGGGGATGGCCTCGTAGACGGCGCGCAGGTCCCGCGGCCGCACGCCCTGCTCGCCCAGGTACTTGAACACGCGCTGCATGTACTCGTTGTAGAAGCCCTCGCGGTAGGTGGCTCGCAGGCTCTCGGGCAGCCGCTGGCCCGGCGCGGCGCGCACGATCGAGTCGTCGCTGTTTTCGTCCACGATGGTCTCGTCGAAGTCGAAGGTCAGGAGGAAGCGCGGGGCGCTCTGGGCAGCCATCCCGCCGTCCTGGGAGCAGGGGGGGAGGGAGCAGCAGGAGGAGGAGGAGGCAAGCGAGAGGGGGCGCGGCGGGAGCCGGCCAGGAAGAGGCTGGTTAGCAGGCCAGAGGCGCTGGCACGTCCAGGACCTGAGGAGGACCCGAGGCTGGTTAAGCTGGGAGCAGCACCCAACACCCCACCACCCCCCATCCGCGCCCTCTACCAGCCTAACCCCTAGACCCGGAAGGACTTCTTTGGCCCCTGTTCTCTGTCCCCCTGAGCCAGGACCACGGAGGCTTGGCAAGGGCCAGCTTCCAAGGGCCCCCTCCCCTTGGAAGATTTCTGTTGGGGAGACTTCCGGTGGCCCTTGAAGCTGGTGTAAGCCACAAGGGGGGGACAGAAGGAGGAACTTTCCACTCCCTCCCCAACACAAAGGCAGGCAAAGAGACCACCCATGCACCCTCCTCTCCTCCCCTGGGTCCTTGTGAAACCCAACCAGGAGCCAGGTCCCAGGGACGACTTTGGGGCAGCAACCAAGGCACATGGGGTGCCAGGTCCCAGGGTCTGGATGAGTGTCAGCCCCAGGCCTGGAGACTTGGGTACGTAGGTCTCTCTGGCCAGAGAAGTGGATTTTAGGCCTTGGAGTAAAAAACCAGCTGAGTACACTGACCAGCTAAGACCCAGGAAGGCTCTGCGAGCTGCTGCCAGCCCCAGGGCGCTGGGCAGGGGTCCGGGGCCTGGACACAGCTTTGCCAGGAATGGTTAGGGCCCTGGCTGCCAGCTCATCACTAGTCACTTGCCAGTTCCCCAGGAGGGACGTGTCAGCGGGTGGGGTTTCTGCCAGAGTCCGAAGCAAGCGGGCAGCAGGAGAAGCAGTGGGGCTGGGGGAGGTTGGAGCCTCCCGGGCAAGGCCACGACACACCTGGGAGACAGGTAAGGGAGAGGAAAGAGAGCAGCAGAGGCTGACAAGGCAGAGGGGGAGGAGCAGGCAGCAGGACCAGGGGAGCTAAGAGGAAGTTGTGCTAAGGCAGCCTGGAAACAGACGGCCAGAGACAGGAAGATGGTGAGGGTGGGAGCTCCGGGAAGTGGAGACCTTGGACCAGAGAGGATGGGGGACGGCAGCGGAGGGGTCAGGGCACAAAGCGAGGCAAGCAAATGGAGATGCAGGAGCCCCCAGCAGGGCGGCCCTGCCGCCTTTGCCCGAGAGAGCATGTGCGACCTCCCAGCACCCTTTCCTGCACTGCCTTTCCCCTCCCCTTTCATCCCGGGCAGGGGGGATGCACCAGTCCTCTTTCCGTTTCTTCCTCCCCCTCTGCGAATGCCGCCCTGTGCATGCCCTAGCACAGTTTGTGAAATGTTAGTCCCAGCTCTACATTTCACAAGAGGTATGTGGGGGCTGGCACTGTGGCATAGTGGGTAAAGTGGCCACCTGCAGTGTCGGCATCCCATATGGGCACTGGTTCTATCCTGGCTGCTCCACTTCCGATCCAGCTCTCTGCTATGGCCTGGAAAAAGCAGTGGAAAATGGCCCAAGTGTTTGGGCCCCTGCACCCATGTGGGAGACCCAGATGAAGCTCCTGGCTCCTGGCTTCAGATCGGCTTAGCTTCAGCCGTTGCAGCCATTTTGGGAGTGAACCAGCAAATGGAAGATCTCTCTCTCTCTCTCTCTCTGCCTCTCTGAAACTCTACTTTTCAAATAAGTAAATAAATCTATATTTTAAAAAAACTCTTGCAAAGAGGCATGTGAACAGAACTGTCCCTTGCCCTCAGCCTTAGAGCCACCCTCTGGTCTCAGCAACTTCCCTTCAGGGGGTCTCAGTGCCAGGCTGAGCTGAAGGGGGGACTGGAGAGGGCCCCTCCCACCCCTCGATGGAAAGTAGGGGCTGAGATGGCTGGAGAGGGCCCCTCCCACCCCTCGATGGAAAGTGGGGGCTGAGATGGCTGGAGAGGGCCCCTCCCACCCCTCGATGGAAAGTGGGGGCTGAGATGGCTGGAGAGGGCCCCCCCACCCCTCGATGGAAGGTGGGGGCTGAGATGGCTGGAGAGGGCCCCTCCCACCCCTCGATGGAAGGTGGGGGCTGAGATGGCTGGAGAGGGCCCCTCCCACCCCTCGATGGAAAGTGGGGGCTGAGATGGCTGGAGAGGGCCCCCCGCCCCTCGATGGAAGGTGGGGGCTGAGATGGCTGGAGAGGGCCCCCCCGCCCCTCGATGGAAGGTGGGGGCTGAGATGGCATCCCAAGAGATCCCTGGAGGGCCCCACTTACCCTAGACAGGCATCGGAGGCCAGCAACTGGAAAACACCCGCTCATTGTCAGCACATCACCCTGGGCAGCATGAGAAGGGGATCTGTTGGAGCGCCTGACAAACGCAGAATCCATCAGGTGCTAAGCCACTGGCTTAGCTTTCACCGCTAGTGCCCGTCTGCTGAGCCCCCAGGGTCTCACTACAAGCGACCCCTGAAACAGACCCGGCCCGCGGAGCACCTCATTAAGCTCTGCAAGGGAGAAGGCTCGGCAATGTTGGCTAACTTGCTGAGGCCATGCTGTGTCCTACTCAGGCCAGTTCCTGGCTCCAGCACCCCAGCTTTGGTCAAAGAAGCCCTGGACCTCTGTAGGGAAGGCAAAGCTGTGGACCCGGCAGCCTTGTACCGGGAGAGGAGCACAGATCTGGCTGGCTGCTGCCCTCTGGTGGTGCCAGTGTGCTACTTAAAGCCCTCTGACAGTCAAGAGAAGCTCCCCTGGCCGTTCCAGGCAGGGCAGCAGGGCAAAACAGGTATCCTACAGGACAGGGACTGGGACATTCCAGGATGAAGGTCCAGGCTCCAGCACCTTCCATCTTGAGAGCCCCCTTCTCCCTCAACTCCCCGAACACACATGCATTGAACCCTTCCGGTAAGAATGGGATGTGGGTCTTAGCTTTGATGAACTTTTAATCTGGGAATTGGGAGTTGGCCCAAGCTGACCTGGGACATGAGCAAAGGCAGGGGGGTGAATGAGAGACACGGGCTAGAGAGCAGATGAGAGAGAAGAGGGACAACAAAGGGGAGGGACTTGTGCTGGGGAGGGGGACAAGGGCCACCCCAGACAAAATCCTGGCTGCTAGTGAGTGTCCAGGCGCCCCAGGCGAGTCAGAGGAGAAAGGTCAGACAGTCAACACGGGCAGGCACGTGTCGGGCACGGGGAGCAGCAAGGGGTGGATACACAGAATGCAGAGGTCACTGCACCACCCAGATGCCCATTGTCACCCCCGGATAAGGGTCTCCTTGCCTTGCTCTGGTTTTTCCCCCTTTTTTGGGGGGAGGGGATATTCTATTGATATTTCTCATAGGGAAAAGATGCATTTTCTTAAATCTGATGGCAGGATTTAGGGAAATCGCTGATGCATGTGTTGTCTTAATCTTCAAGGGAGAAAGGCCTCTGGCCTCCTAGGTGCCTTCCCCCGGGGGGGAAACTGAGGTCAAGCCCCGGACCCTGTTCCCCACTGGCCTCCAAAACGTTCCAAAAGGCCGCTTACCTCTGGCAGCTGTGTCCCTAGTGATGGAAGGCTTCCTTGGCCACCAAGAAGAGTTCCCAGCAGGAAGGGGCTGTGGCTCTGAGCTTCTCCGTCCCGGCTGGAGGCAGAGCGAGAAGGGAGCTTCAGGAGGTGGCAGGGAGTTCCCTGCTAGTCCAATCAAGAAATCCTCCCGGCCTTTCATGCAAATGCGCTTAGGGTCAGAGGGGGAGGGGGTGGGAGGTGCCAAGGGGCGAGGGGGGGCACCCCTCCCTACAGAAGCCCTGAGTTCCCGCTTTCCCTCTTCAGGGGTGGGGTGAGCTCCGGGGAAGCTTTGGGACAGTGAGGACCCAGAAATCCCAATCAGAGCCCGCGCTGCCTCCTCCATCGCAATCACTACAAATCAAACCCTGCCACTCAGCTGGAATTCACTCCCTCAGACAGTGCCCATCACCACCAAGAAGCAAAGAGGGAGGAAAAGGCCCAGAGAGGCCAGGCTAGCATCCCGGGGTCACACAGCATTTGAATCACTAGAACTCTAGATCCTCCGGAGCCTTTTGGGAGACTCCCAGCTAGGGACCCCCTTAGGCTGTCCCGACCAGCGGAAGGTGAGAGACCCACGCCCTGGTGCCAGTGAGGAGCTGGGACCAGCAGTTACCCAGGGCTCTCCCTACCAGGGCGGATACGCCCAGAGGGGATCCCCACCGGGTAGGGACAGGAGGTGGCAGCCGCCCGTGGGGGAGGGGGGAGAGATATTTTTAGAGGTGACTGGAAAGCAGGCACTCTGGCACATCCCCAGCTGGCGGGCTCCCCGCTCCACTGCGGGCGGGGGGCGCGCGGCTCGGGGACAGGAGGGCTTGTGGGTGGCCGGCGGCAAGGGACACCGACTCCTTGGCTCGGCGGAGCCGCGGAACGAAGGGGTGCCCGGGCGCCGCGTTCCCGGGGCAGGAGAGGGAAGGGGAGTCATTCCTCTCCTCCAGGGACTCCTCCACCGCCCCGCGCGGGAGGAGCGTCCTCAAAGTGTACACAGTGCCCACCCCACGCCGGGACCCCAGCCCTTCCCCAGGACTCACGTGGGAGCGGGGGCGGCGGCGGCAGCAGAGTCTGTCCTGGCTGAGTTTGCAGAGTACCGAGTGGGCAAGGGGGCTGGCTAAGGCAATGGGGCGCAGAATGGAGCAAGGGGTGCTTACGGGGATTGGAGGGGACGTGGTGTCTTATCCACCCCCAGATTGCTGGGCTCCAGCTCACGAGTCCCTCTAGTCCCGAGGGACCGTGGATGATGTGCGTCTGGGCCGTCCCCTCCACCTGCCCCCCATCCCCCCGGGCCGCCGCCGCCGCCGCCGCCGCCGCCGCCGCGTCCCCTTTAAATGCCGGGGAGCCGGAGCCCGAGCCGCGGCCGGCGTTGCGGCTGCTGCAGCACCCGGGCCCACCGCAGTCCCCGCACGTCACAAGCGGCCGGCCAATCGCGGCGGCGCCGGCGCACATCAAAGGGGCGGGCCGCCGGCGGGCCACGCCTCCAGGCTGCCCCAGGGGCTCCGGGAGCGCGGAGCCAAGGTGGGATTGGGCGCCGCGGAGAGGGGTGGGAGGGCTCGCGTCCCTCCCAAGGAGCGGGGGTGGGGGGCACCTCGTCCCCGCGCCTGGGGACAGCTGCGGAGCGCCCCTGCGAGCACACCTGGAAATGCCGGGGCAGTGCACTTGCTCAACCTCCGCCTGCCGGGCCCCGATCCAGAGCGTTCGCAGAAAGACCCTCCACCCCGAGCCGGTCCCAAGCTTCGTTCCTCCAGCCGGGCGGCGGGCACGGGCTGACCCGGCCCGGGACAGCAGTGCCTCTTCCACGTGTGCGGAGCCAGGTGCCCTCTGCCCTCCAGGCAGAGTCCCAGCGACCCGAGATGGCCGGGAGGAGGGGTTCTCCCGCTCCCCTAAGTCGCAGACGCCGGCTGGGGTCCCCGCTTGGGTCGTCCCTGCCTAGACGGTGTTGTCTATAAAACCCGCTTCCTCCTCCGCGTCCGTTCCCGGCCGCAGTCGGCCTTTCCCCCCGTTCCGCGCCCCTCCCTCGCCGCACGCAGGTGAGGTTGTGCTTGTGGGGGGGAGGTGAAACTCGGCTTGGCTGGGGACACTACGAAGCGGGCGTTGGGCGCCACTGCCACCTTCGCGGCGCGGTGTTTACCACCCGCAGGAGAAAGGATTTGCCCAGGGTTCACAGCCAGGGTCGTGGGTGGAGGTGGGGGTGGTGTCTGACTCCCGCCCTTCCTGAGACTGCCCCGGGCGCTGTCCGGGGAGGGAGCCAGACCCGGGGCTGGAAGAGAGGGACCCGGATCTGCGAGGAATTCACCTGATTTCTATGCCTGGGGCTGGAGACGGACCGGCTGTAGTTCCCACCCGTGCCACGGGGCCCAAGCACTAAGAGCTGCAGTACCCTTCCTGAAACCCAGCGCCTTCCACCTCCTCTCTCCTCACACGGTCCTGGAACCAGCCCACCCTGATTTCCTCTCCCTAAGACCACCTCCTTCACAACGCCTTTCCCCATCCCAGACCCTCCCTGCTGTGGGGGGCGCCCGCCTCATCCCTGCTCTGCCGCCCTGCAAGTCCTGAGCACTGACGAGGAGCTGAAGTAATCTTGCAGGTGCAGCTCCTGGCAGCCGCCACCCTGCGATGTACCAGGTGCCGCGTGCCTGCCGGCCCGGGCTCATTTTCCTGCTGGGTAATCCAGGCTCCAGGGCTGGAGCTTGCTGGGGTCACCCTGCTGGTGGGTGGTAACGCTGGAATTCCACCTGTCACCTCACACCGTCTCATTTGGTGTCACAAACGCCCCTCCCTTCCCCGGTACCCAACATGGGGGCAGGATGGAGTTTGAGTGTCTCCCAGTAGGACTTAGATGCTTGTTGAGTGGAACAGTTCCCTGCTGTGCTCAGCCACTGCTGTGAACGCCTTCCGTTTGTATTCCCTCAGGGAGTGCAGTGGAGGATGGCCCAAGTACTTGGGCCCTGCACCCCATGGGAGACCAGGAGAAGCACCTGGCTCCTGCCTTCGGATCAGCGCGGTGCACTGGTCGCAGCACGCCGGCCACAGCGGCCATTGGAGGGTGAACCAATGGCAAAGGAAGACCTTTCTCTCTGTCTCTCTCTCTCACTGTCCACTCTGCCTGTCAAAAAAATTTTTTTTGATTATGTATATATTTTAAAGGAGGGGGGGAGAGGAAGATAGAAATCTTCCATTTTCTGTTTCATTCCCCAAATGCCCACAACAGCTGGGGCTAGGCCAGTTGGAAGCCAGGGGCTGGAACTCCACCCGGGTGGGTCTCTCCTGTGAGGGTGCAGGGACCTAACTAAGCACTTGAGCCATCATCTGCTACCTCGCAGGTGCATTAGCAGGAAACAGGCTCAGAGGGGGGCAGTTGGGATTTGAACCAGGCAGCACTGATGGTTCAAGCTTCACAATAACAGGTAGAAGCTCCTGAAAAACCTCAGGACACAATCCTTTTCTCTTTCAGCTTGCTTTACTCCTCTCTCTCTCACTGTGCCAACGGGTGAGGCGATGGCTGCTCTTAGGAGGGGGCAGAAGTAGACTGGGAAATGGGCCCCCAGCTCGTGGGGACCTCTGGGCGGCCCGGGGGGCTGCGGCTCTTCCCCTTTGCTGAGTGTCACCCCGGGGCCCGTGTGAGAATGGAGTCACGCGAGGTGACAGTGCTCTCTCTCTGGTGACTTCCTGGTGAACCCTGATCAGATAGCCAGCGAGCAGCTCTCCACCTGGTCTCACAAAGAGGGTGAGTCACTTGCCCATGGTTTCAGCGGGAGAGCCAAGGAGGCCGGAATCCAAGGCCTCGACCTTCTGCTCTCCAACTGGCCTGGAGGTGGGGGCGCCATGGAGGGCCCAGCAAGAGCCCCAGCCACTCACTCCACCTGCCCCGGAACCCACGGGGTACCCTGGCAGATGGGTCCTTGTGCTCCTGGCTTCCCAGGCAAAACAGCAGAAGCTCCAGGAGCCAGCGCCCTGCCCTAGGACACTGCGAGGCAGGGGCCACCAGGGTGCAGTGTGCACTGCCGGGTCTGCCCTGGTGATTCGGGGACGGGCGAGGTGGAGGAGGCCATGGAGAGTGTCCCCAGGCATCGGGCCGGCAGTTAGGGGCCTTGGCTCTCCAGGCCCCACAGTCTTCCCCCAGGACAGCCACGCATGGCTTCAAAGGCTCAGGTCTTCCTTCTGCATCACAGGGGAAATGAAGCAAAGGGCAGCCTGTGGCCCCAGGTCACAGAGCTAGGCAGTGACAGATGACCCCAGGCACTCAGCTGCAGAGCAACCTGCCCTAAAGGAAGTGTCCCTGGTCCAGCAGGAAAGGTGCCTGACAGTTTGGGGTGGGATGGGAGATGGCAGGGGTGGGGTGAGGGTTGGGAGGGGGAGTGGGTATTTTAGGGCATGAGAGGCTTCTGTTCCTAGGCTGTCTGGCCTATCAGTTTCTGCCCATTAGCTTAGGAAGTTGAGAGTTCTTTGAACATTGGCTTATACAACAGTTTGACTTGGAAACAGGCTACCTGGCCTTGAACTTGCAGGCCTTCATGTCTCCCTTTGGACTTCATTTTCCAACTTAGGTGGAAGGCGGTGAAGGTCTCATGGGTTCTAAGAATCTTGGGGGTAGGAGGTAGGTGTTATGGTGCCGTGGGTTAAGCCCCTGCTGGGGACACCCGAATCCCATACTGGAGTGCCTGGTTCGGGTCCAGCCCACTCTGCTTCTGATCCGCCTGCCTGCTCATGCCCCTAAGGCAGCAGGTGATGGCTCAAGTGCTTAGGCTCCTGCCACACGCATGGTAGACCTAGATGAGCTCCAGGCTTCGGGCCTCTGCCTGGCCCAGCCCCAGCTATTGCAGGCATTTGGGGAGTGAACCAGCAGATAGAAGATCTATTTTCCTCTCTGTCTCTCCCTCTATGACACCCTGCCCTTCACATAGATAAATAAAATCATAAAAAAAAATAAAGACCCCTCTGTTATTTAGTGGAGAGAAGGCATCTCGGAATCTCTTTCTCCGATACCTCAGCAGCCAGAGCTCCAGGGTGCGGGCCCACAGGGCAGGGCAGGGCTGGGAGCCCGAGGGCCCTCGGCACCTCCTGCTCCCTCGTGTGCAGGCAGCAGCCTGCCTGCTCAGTGGGCCGGCAGCCCCAGGAGGACATGGCGATAAGCATTTTTCAAATATTCTGGCCTGAGTCCCTGGACTCACCCAAACACGCAGAAACCTGTTTGCTTAGCCTGTAACACTCAGGGCATTCCCAAAATCTGCCCCCGACCCCCTGCTCCTATCGGGAAGGGCCCTTGATTTTCATCTTTGACCCTGCATTGTGAATTGCCCCTCGGGGCTGTAGCTCTGGCACCCGTCCTGGGTGGCGCTGGCAGCCTGCTGAACCTGTCTCAGTGTTGCAGTGAGCTCCTGTGGATCCGGGCAGGCTGCCTCACCCCTGCCCTGGTTCTGGGAAGGCTCTGGCAATCCCAGAGACCAAGGCTCCCATCGCGAGCTGTGGGCAGCCTGCGTCATCCTGCGCTGCCGGGCAGCCACTGGTAACTGCCTTTGCCACTGAGACGTGTGCTCTTGAACGAGGCGTCGGCCCTGCCCGTGGGGCGCTTACAGTCCAGAGCACAGACCTCCCCCACAGAGTGTCCAGACAGAGCACCTGGCAGATCGGCCGCGCTTGTGCCCACCGGGGGAATTCGGTCTTGTGCTTAAGCAATGAAGCAGCTGGCGCGTGAGTGCCTCGGGCTAAGAAGGGACCCATGATCCAAGGGCTGGATCCTTCCAGACACCCCGCCCGGACCATTCTCTGCCGGCTAAACCCATCCCTGGCCCTTGGCTGCTGGTGGCTGTCCCCTCCCCCCCCCCCCCCCCCCCCAAGCTCAGAGACACACCTGCTGCGTGTCTCCCTGGCTTCCCCAGTCCTAGGCCCCTCTGCCTACCACTCGCTCCTCTGATTGGGCTGTCCACTGTCCTTCCTCGTGGTGGGTAGCCACCACGGAGGTTGGGGCAGGCGTTTGGCGCAGTGGTTAAGTGCCTGGGTTTTATTCCCAGCTCCATATCTGATCCAGTCTCCTGCTCATGCGCACCCTGGGAGCCAGCAGATGACGGCTGGAGCACCTGGGTGCCTGCCACTCATGTGGGAGACCCTGAATGAGTTTCTGGCTCCTGGCTTCAGCCCGGCCCAATCACAGCAGTTGTGGGAATTTGGGGAGTGAACCAGCAGGTGGAAGATCTCTCTCTCTCTCTCTCTGCCTATTAAAAAATAAACAAAAATAAAGATAAATAAATATTTAAAAGCTAATGGGGGTGATGTGGTAGAGGTGGCGGGATAGAGAAGTGAATGAATAAGCACACGGACGCCCTTTGTGCCATCAGGCCAGGCTCACTGCAGGTGGAAACAGTTCCCTGAGGGGCCGCCCAGCCAGGAAGTCCTCCCTACCT